CACACCCACACCCACACCCACACCCACACCCACACCCACACCGACACTCACACACCGACACCCACACCCACACCCTTTGCAACATTATGAAGTACATTGTTTGCTGTTGTTGTAATTGCGATGTATCTTTTGCTTTTTTATTTTTTCGTAAAAATAATTGTTGCATTCTCCTAGGCGATTCAAGCGGCCGCAAACATAGTAAAGTAAAGAATATTTTCAACCGTGAATATTTGTTGGAGAAAAAGTGAAAAATGTTTGTCGCATTTATGAATTGATATCCTTGCTATTGAATTAGCTCTTTCTTTCTGCGAGTCAAAATTGGCATTAGAAGGAAGAAAAATATTTCTGTTTCTTCTTTCGCATAGGAGTATATAAATCAAATGTTTTTATTATAGGAGCATTTTTTTAAATATTTTACAATCTGAGTGCTACCAACATAACACACGTAAGTTGCTTTAATGGGGTCTTCTTCAGCAACTAATTTTGTTACTTTTCGTCCGATTTCAACCAAATTTTGGGAGAATATTTGTCTAGGCTAGGATAGTTTATGGATGAAGTATCTCTCCTTAACCTCCAATATACTAACGAGTTAAGTCAATTTATTGGTCAAAAGTACCCTGTACGCGGGCAAGCGTTGCGCCATCAGGTTAAAAGCTAACATGCCAGGGCATTTATTACATTGTAGAGTACCCTAAGGGCTAGATCCTCATAGAGTCCGATTTTTAAATTCCCTTTGTTTGTTTTTTAAAGAATCTTTTCCAAAAAATTCTCGAATTCATGGTCAAAAAAATAGCTGCTAAAAATGAAATATGTAAGTTTTTATTTCGCCAATAGAGAAATTCAAAAATCGGATTCTGTGAGGATCTAGCTCTAACTGTCCTCTATACAATAAAAAAAAAAACATCACTTCTCTATGGAGTCGTTATTAAAGAAATCTTGCCTGCGTAAACGGTATGCTCGAACAAATTGATTTTGAGAGAAGCGTACAAAAAGTTTTTAAAAACCTTATTCTTTTCAATATGGGGGTTCAGAAAAACCTATGTAATATCCTTAAATCTAATGATAAAATCAATCAACTATAGTGCATTCGAGAGTAGGCACATTGCTCTATCTAATGAGTTATAAATCACAAAATCGATAAATTTGGCCGAAATTGACTTTTCTGAGAGGGAGTGGTGCCTGAAATGGATTCATGCCATACTTTGATCAATATTTTGTTAAATAGAATATCGTTGTAGAGATGAATCGATTTTTAGACATCGAGATCGGTGACAAAAATGCTTTCACTCATAGATGGATACTGGTAGTTTTCTCTTCTTTCCCTTGAGCAAGCTTTTGAACCTGGCATGTCTCACTTCGGTCAGTTGGATCGGTGTATCAATGAAAAAAATTGCTGTTATCCATCGCAACACTAGCTGGCTAGATCTTCAGAGTTTCCCGTTCCTTAGACCACCGCTCCTGAGAAATGGAACACATTTGAAAATTCGATTTTATGATTTTTCGACTACTGAATTGTTTAAACATCTCTTTTGTCGTTCTCTAAAACGTTGGCATGCGTTTTGAAATTCTGAGTGAGTCTCCGTTCCTGAGAACCCGAAATCTCATGGGCGCTCCTAAGCATGCAAACTCACAACTATATACGCGTATCGTTTCTTAAAGTTGTGGTATATACGGTATTTCTCGAAAAGAAAATCGCTTTGCTGTTTTCTTTGTCTTTTGCAAGAGAAGAGCATGAGAATATAAAACTTTTCCGTTACTCCTAGTAAAGATCTTGTTGGTATGATACTATTGAAATGAATAGAAGCACGTAGTTAGATCATTACTTTTTTTTGGAAGATGTGCCTTTCTGTCTATATTCCTTAAGTTCTAGAATATGGATTGTTTCATTAATAGCAATACGGCCATAGATCGATGGGTGATCACCGGAAAACTATAAGCTGATGTACTCGAGAGAGAAAAAGAAAGACACACCCAATGGGAATCACAGGGATCCATTAGGGTTCTGGGATACAGGATTTGCTTTTCCTCCCTTGGACACACGTAGTGTAGTTAGTTATAAGCTTCACTTTTTCTAGAAAATGTTAATTTTAAATTTACAAAAGTTAACTCCGAAATTCTGCACGAGAAAAGTAAGCAAGCTAACTGAAGCATCCTTTCGATTGATTATTTGTTAACACTGTAATTGAGTATGATACTAGTCGTTGACAAACTCAATATTCTAATGAACACCTGTGTGCTTTTCAGATTGAAGCAATACTACGAAATCAACTGCAGAATAGTATGATTAACAATTCAGCAAAGCTTGAATTTCTGGACTCATTGACATAAAAGCTAAGAAAATTATAGTGTGATTCCGATTTCAAACAGCTCATCTAAGGCTCTGAGTTTCCGAGAACAGAATTCACTCCGATTTCTTAGTCCTCAAAAACACAACCCACTCCGAGTTCCAAATTTCTTAGAACGGAACCAGAAATTGACAGTCCTACCAGCAAATAGCAATGTGTTAGGAAAAAAAAGACTCTATTATTTAATATTCTTAAGTTAGTTTTCTAAAAAATTCCTTTAGGGTCCCCAAAGATGGGAAATGAGCAAGCATCATCACAGCAAGCATCATCGAACACAAAGCCAAATTGTCCTCGTTGTGGTCGTCACAGTCAAGTTCGTCCTGGTGTTGCTCTTGATACTGATGGTTATGGTTATGCTACCGGTGGAGGTTATATTGGCAGCATGACGAAGTATTGTTTTTTTAGAACTAATGGTTTCGTGTATGTATGCGAGAACAGACACTGATACATTCGTCTTATTTCTACTGTAATGCTTCACTATTTAATTTGGATAATTTAATAACATAGTATTCCAGAAATCGCACTTTTCAGTTAACTGCTTTTCTTTTTATTCGAACTTATAATCGGTAGCTAAGATTGGTTTGATAGATACTTAATGAAACTAAGAATGCCAAAAACTAGTAGCTATCTTGAGGGCATGATTCTTAGCAAACTATAACAGACTTCGACCTCGCTCAAGGGTCTCATCAGCTAGCTTTGATTTCGTGAGAGGGGTGAATGTCCAAATATAAAATAAAGAGTGTTAAAAATAAGTGATCATCTCACTCGTTCAAGGAAATACAGATGAATTCAAAAGAAGTGTAACCATATAGATGCCTCAACAAGTACGTAAGACTTGTCAGAGAGGTCCCAAACAAGGGAGCGACTCTAACGTTGCCCATCTAACAGAGTGGGTGTGGCTATGGGTGTGTGGATATCAACACAGCATCTACACCCACACACTCATCAATCGAAATAGCATCCTCATTTAACCGCGTAATACACCTAAGGATAGGACTAGATAAGACTATCAAAAGCCTAAAAGAGCTCGTCTTCACGCGCCTTTTGAGCGACGTTGGGACTGTTTCACTGAATCATCGACTAATTTTAATGTATCCACTATTAAACCAAAGAACGATCTTTCAAACGGAAATATTACTGCTAGATAGGTGCAATGATTTTAGGAATATGGTGTGTGGGTGTGGGTGTGGGTGTGGGTGTGGGTGTGGGTG